TCACGTCGACAATTCAAACCGACGCGGGCTGGCAGGGTCAAATTGTTCAACCGTCGAAGGACAATTGGAGCATTTAGCCTACGGGGCACAGTAACTGATTTTTCACTTCTCACATTGCACTCCGGTGTCACGGAAGTCAAGCATCGCGTGTGATAGTGACATGTAATATCAAAACATGTCGCGTTGTTGCATTTGGTTGATCTTTACTCTTCTTTTTAAAAAGCTTTTGACAATGGTTTTTTATGTATGAGTTAGAAAAAAATATTGCAATAAGAATTACTACGGCTGTAAACAGTTGTTAGCTATTTTTCTTCCCCTTTTCAACAAGTGGCAGTAAGTAGCAAGTTTGGGGACAGGATCTTCCGGCAGGTGCTCTTATCTATTACTTGACGCTACTATTAAACCATGGTTAATAGTAGCGCAAGAAATCCAATCAATACAAAAATAGCTACTACATTTGGAATTCATATTTCAGACTAGTTTGCTTGCGCTGTAAGCAGCTGATGTATAATTTGATCTTGAAATTGGTGTAGCTAATGTGGGAGAATTACCAAGAGAAAATTCAATGAAATATTTATTTACATATTTCCTTTCCGTAAAAACACTCCCAATAGATAAGAGCACCTGCCGGATAATAATAATAGACACTTATATAGTGCGGTATCCAGTAATTGCTCAACATGCTGTACAATAATATGGTAAGAAACTAGAGTTAAAAACTATTATAAGATAAAATAAAAATTAAATGAACTACTAAAATCGAACATCATAGGCTAATTTAAATAAGTATGTGTATCCATCCAAGACATGTGATCTTTGATTCACTGTGTATCAGGCTAAGCTAAGGTGTATTATGGGCAGTGTGAAAGAGGCAAATAAAAAGGACTTTGATCTGTTATGTAGTTTCAGGTTGATGTGAAACAATTATTATTAAATAATGCAGCAACTGTGTGCATGCTGAAGACCTTACACAACTGTACTCATACAGTGTACAAGAAAAATCTACACTGCTAATATGGTTAGGTCTTTTTTATGAAGAATAGTGCACTGCCAGAGCACCGCATTATAGCTGAATTTAATGCTAAAATGTAGATTTTTCAATAGGTGAGTTAGATAGAATCCACTCTCCTTCCCTGGTTACAATAATATCCAGTATTAAATACCTTTATTATTCCCATCTTTTTTCTGCAATAATTTGTCTCATTTTTTTTCTGTAACGAGTAACACTGTAGCCTCCCTCACAGTATTTTTAGGGGAGTTGTACATCCTCCCTTTCCACAAAATGCCTGCTTACTGACATCAACATTTCTAATTTCCATTTTTTTATTCATGTGGTACATTTAACCAATCAACAATGAGAGGTATTATGTTTAATTTTTCCAAACTTCTGCCCTAAGAGTTGTGGGCACTGTGTAGTGAGAAAAAAGCAATTACTCTACTAAGTGTGACAAACTCCTTTTGTTAACTTTAATTTTTTATGTTTCCTTTATTTAAAGTGGAATTGTATTAACAGGAATTCTGCCAAATTTCGTCAGATTTTAATGAATAGATTTTGATATTTTGTCATTTGTTACCATAGCCTATGAAAGTCAACAAGAGTACAGTGTATGTACAGTATACCTAAAACTCGTGTAAACACTGAGATAACCACATGATATGACAAAGTGATGAAAACTGAATAAATTTGTTCTGACAATGTCTGGGCATTTTTCTCAGCTTGCCCTCAATTTTTTTCTATAAAATCACATTAGCTTCAATGTTCTATTGATAAAGATGTATCAGGGAGTTTTTTAGTGCATGCAGCTTTATGTAATAGAAACTGCATGTGCTCAACTTCCTGTACTAAAAGCTTTAAGAAACTCAGTTCACTAAGAATAAAGTTGTTGAGATTGGAGGGGGAAACTTACAGTTCACACAACGAAGCAAACCTCAACGACAAAGTCTAGACACACGGGGTTCTTATACTTCTTAATATACTAATGAAGTTCAGAATTAAATACAGACTTCTGCCAATTGCTGCTTTGTCCTGATAGCACAAACACATCTTGTCATTATTTATCATGAGGCTATCTTTGTTCATTTGTATACTACTGTAGACGCTCTCTGTAACTCTATAGACCATGCGTCAAAGTTCTCTCATCCATGAATTTTAGAATGTTAATGGAAAAAAAAGACAATTCTTGAGTTATGTTTTCTTTTTATTTTCATTTTTTTTGTACAGGCATGAAAGAAAACCAGGGATTAAAAGAAGCAAACAAAGGCTTGGATTGGCTGGTAAGCTTTATTGATATGTGTTTTCCCTGTAATGCACCAGTGGTGTGCATGAAAATGCATTAGCAAGGAATAGTAACATTCACTACTAGACAAAGTTATGGTAAGATGATTTATCACTCAAAATCTTGTACCAGCCTAATGAAACACCTTGGTGGCCGTTGATTTATGTGTAAGAAGCATTTGGAAATTGTGCGGAATTTCCAGGTGGTCACATACAACAAAGAAGGTCTACAAGGAAGAAAATTATGCATTTTTTCTGGACACTGACTTTTCACCAAGGACACTAGTACTGTCATTTAATTCTCAACAACATCAAAGCTCTCAGAGACTGCACAATTTTATGATTAGTGTAACGATAGCAGTCTTAAACGCTTAATAAGGACAAACTCAATGATGGCCGCCTCAAAACTACTACAAAAGCACCCGATTTTAGGTCACGTGGCTTACAACCACAGGACTACCATGAAACCTTTCCTTCTTTCTTTTTTAAAAAAATAAAATGAAAAGAAAAAAAAATTCATTGCACAATGGGCACTTAATAACTGGTGAAAGCCCAACAACGTCAGCCAAAGCACTGAATGCAGAACATTTTGAACAAACAAAGTCAAGTGTTTCAAAAGTGTTCAATGTCTAAGCAAGAAAAAGAAAGAGAAGAAAACATTTTTTTAACTGTCTCTTACAATCATCAGGTGTAGTCAGGCACAGTCCTTTTAAATAGCCAGGAGGCTTTGACAACCGACCAGCTCTTGTGATCTTATTTTCAACTGGCCTAGACTTGTTAAGTGTTGTGCACAGAGGTTAGGCCTTGCTAGGTATTGCAATAGGGGTTTTGTTTGGCTGTTTAGACTGGTCCCCCTGAGCTGGCACTGTTGGGAATGACTGACCCTCTGTTGGCTGAGGTCTTTGCAGTTTCTCTGGAGAGGCTGCCATATACGGGGCTTGCAACGCTACAGGAGCCTTGGTAGGTTGTGAGCTGTATAATGGCTCTCTGCTCCTGCAGAGATGTCTACGGTTTCTGCGGAGGATTCTCCCATCTTCTGTCTTCACTTTATAAGATTGCACATCTGCTAGTTCTTCTATTTCTGCTTTGAACCATGTCTGGCTCTTGTCATGGGGAAGTGGCATTATTCTGACTGTCTTGCCTTTCACCAATGGCGAGAGCTCCTTGAAGGTGGGTTCGCATACGTTGCCCAAACATACGCCAAGCTGGCGAGGTGCTCAGCCCCTCCATTGGGGTGTTTCTCCAGCTTAGTAGAAGAAAAAAATAATCGGCTCCCGTTGCTTTGACTTTCTTGATTAAGCTCTTTGCAGTCTTGAATGCGTTTTCTACTCGTTCATTGCTTTGGGGGTAGCCTAGGGAGCTGGTTACATGCGCAGTCCCAGATGATCTCAAAAAGTTCTTAAATTCTGCAGAGTTAAAGGGTGGCTCATTGCCACTTAGCAATTCATTAGGTTTTCCATGTGTGACAAAATGTTTCTTAAGTTTCTTTATGATGACAGTTCCTGTTTTGCCATGTAACTGATCCACTTCAAAGTACCTAGAGTAGTAGTTACTGTGCAGAGATAATTCTTGTCATCGAGTGTGAATATGTCAGTGTCAACTTTCTCTCAGGGCCTTGATGTGGGCTCTTGACAGTCGTTCCTTGGTCTGGTTTTTCTGAAGTGACATACAGACGTCGCATTTCTGGATGTAGTCAGTGATTTTGGCATTCATGCCTGGCCAGTATACTGTCTCCTGTGCTCTGCATAAACAGCCTTGCGACCCAATATGGGAGTCGTGTAGCTTCTGCTCGACCTTTTGTCTCAGGGTTTACGTTATGATGCATCGCTGGCCCTTGAATATTACACCACCATGTACTGAGAGCTCATCTCGGATTTCAAAGTACTTGTGAATGGCTGCTGGTTGTTTTTCCTTTGTATCTGGGAAGCCATCCAAGATTGCTTTCTTTAAAAACTGTAGAGTTGGATCACAAGCCATTTCTCTCTGAAGTTCCTTGAGCTGGTGGTCTGGAACAGGAAGGGAGTGGCATGGATGCACTCCACCTCTGATTCTGTGGCTTATCGCTCATAGTCCTCTGAATAAGCTCTTGACAGGGTATCAGCTAGCAGCCTCTCCTTGCCAGGCTTGTAGTATATCTCGCAGTCATATTGTTGAAGCCACAGCAGTACTGTAGGCACTGTAGTGTTTTGAAAACTGATGCCAGGGCTTCTGCGAAATGGAGACTAATGGTTTGTGATCTGCCCAGAGGATGACCTTCTGAACATACACTTGGTGGTGGTTGTGTTCCATGCTGAAGACCTGAGCCAGCAATTTCTTTCGAATCTATGAGTACTTCCTTTCTGCCAGTGTGGGTGCTCTGCATGCAAATGTAACAGGTTGGGCTAGCTGCATCAGTACAAAGCCAAGTCCATCTTTAGATGCATCTCCTTAGCCTTCAGTTGGGTCACTCTCACTGAAGTACTTGAGTACTAGTGCTTCATGGAGACAGCATCTTTCATCTTTTCAAAGGTATCGACCTGTTCATGAGTCCAATTCCACTCAGCTTTCTTGTGTGTTAGACCGCGCAGTGGCTCACACAGTTCTGATAGGTCTTGTAGGAACTTAGACAGATACTTTACAAGCCCAATGAATCTCTGTACTGCGGGGACATCTGCCGGTCGCTCCATCTTAATTATTGCTTCGACTTTCTTAAGATCTGTTTTAAGCCCATTCCTTGTCATTACATGCCCGATGAATGACACTTCACTGTACTTCAAATGGAACTTCTCTTTGTTCAGCTTGATATTTCTTACACTGCAACGATCAAGGAGGTTCCTCAGATTTTGGTCGTGGTCAAGGTCAGCCTTTTCATCAGTGTCCCCTTGCCCAGTGATGAGTAGGAGCACCTAATGAAATTAATGTGTGGACAGCAAGTTCTACTAACCTCTTCTAGTCCTGCTACAAGTGTTAGGTTGTCTGCGAATTCAAGCTTGGTAGGATCTCGATTAGGTTGTCTTCTGCTCTGACTAGGCTGATTCGGTAGACCTCACTTATTTAGGCTGTCGAGGAACGGATGCAGTTGAAGTAGTTGAGCACAATAATGAAAAAAACAAGGAGCAAGGGTGTGGCTTTACTACCCTGCTGTATTGTCAAAGAATCTGGTTTCTTTTCAGGACCAATTGAGTAGTCTCAGTTTCCTCATATAGTGACTTTAACTCAGCAGCAATTGGTTAAAGTTGAAGTGGAAGTGTGTCAGACATTGCTTACCTGCTTACATGTTCAAGACTTCCCTACCTATGTTTTCCACATCACCTAACCAATAAACCCCTCTATTATAAACTCGATCCTATTTTGCAAGAAAATAATATATTCCAGTGTAGCGAAAAAATTTAACCCTTGGCAGGGGTAATGGAAGAAAGATGACCATTGCTTTTTTTATCTTTTGTTCTCTCAATGGAACTCAAGTTCAGATGAATTTGAGAGGTTTCTTGATACATGTAGGCAAATAAGTTCTGCTCTATTATATTGAATTCACAGCTGCTATGTTAGAAAAAATCCAAACATTGTACATACTGCAAGAGTAGTGTAGGATATTACAAGAGGCAGTACCTTACAGGAAGTTCTTTTTATAGGTCTTTGACTCGGAAATGTTTGATGTTTTTGCATCCCTGGTCGATTGTGGGAGGTGGTCACTTACAATGTACAAGAGTTGGTTTCACATGAAATTTATCATTAACAGTTATGTTATGGGGAAGGGAGGTAAGAAGCTCGGTATTTTGATTTTGTCAAACACAAAATGCACGTTCCATGTTTACTACATTTAGGGGTGGGTCTAGAGGTGGGAATTTTGAGCCATGGGTGGATAAGTCACTTTTGTACCCCATTCTCAAATGCTTGAGCCCACCAACCCCATACTTAATACCTGCCAAATGAAGTATCAAATGGTCCTAATGTTGATCCATTATCTTTGCAGATTTTGTACCTAAAGATGCTCTATTCAGAAGGGAGGTCAGGTTTTCCATGGACAGAACTCCGTCACAGACCAATATTTTCACAAATTAAGGAACTAGAGAAGGAAAACAATTGCGTCGTTATAGTTGGTTCAGTCAATCAACGTTTTGTAGTATTGATATTAACATTAGGAAAGAGAGGATAAGGGTAGGGATCAAATTATAAAGATCTGTAAATGTTTAGTACTTGTATACGATGGTAGGCAGTCAAAAGGAAAATTGTATCTTTACTTAGATGTTGGGTTCCTCATAAGAGTCAGGTAATTTTTAAAGATACACCTTAACTTTTTAACCAGCTTTTATTAAATTGCTCCAAATTCAAGGTGGCATTTTTCCTGAAAAATTAATTTTATGGGCGTGATTCCTCAAACTTCTGTCATTCATCGTTCATTATTAAATCAAGTGTCAAAAAATTAACAAACTTAAGGGAAGAATTCATACGGCTGGTATATTTGCTCTCATAACCTTTAATCCTGGGCGAGATTTTACATGAAATGGTACTAATTGGGAAGTCAAATGCTAGGTGCTTTCCTTTTTTATTTGCTAGCAATTTTGACTTTTTTGGAGACATTTTCCTGATATTTCACTCTGAAATTTGTATCATACCCGTCAACCATAAAAATATTCCCATTTATGGTTTATCATAGCGTCTAGGATATAAAGGATATTGCAGTGTTATAGAATTATTTATGATAGCTCCTACACGGAAACGTGGACTTAAGTGAGGTTTTAAGTTCTTACCTTAATTTCATTCAATAGGAATGTTACCCAAGCCCAAGTAAAATAAATAACTAGGTTTAAGGTTACCTAATAGTTCCAGGGTTGTCGCTAAGATTTCAAGTTGCTGGTTAAATACCACAAGTAGGCGGGGATCAAGCGGCTAGGGATTTCTTTTGATTCTATTTTTCTTCTGTTTTCGTATGAAAGTAGCTGGGGACCACATTCATTGTAGCCGGAGGAGATCCCCAGCCCCCTGGCTCTTAATGACAGCCCTGCCAATACACTGTAAGCATTAACTATTATTATCATTATGTACTTGGGATGGATTCCTTCAATTTAGATCTTAAACGGGGTTCTCCCTCGTCTTCAGTGCGTGGTGTAAAGCAACTAAAATAAATGTGCAAAATAAAGTGCTCATTAGTATGGTCCGATTGTATTTTATAAATGGGTATTTTTTGTATAACGTCTCTTCAGCAGTTGTGCATGTGTTGCTATTATTTCTACGTATCTCCATCACCAAAGCTGGTGAAATCACGTACCAAACATAATGTATTAACTTACTGGGAAAATGGCATATCACATGGATTTTTTTTTTTTTCAGCCATAAACTGAAAATTTAAAAAAGAGAATAGCATTCTTTCTTACAGTATCTGAATGTTTTCTTATATAGTATAGATGCCAACCTGTGGGGAATCTTATCTCTGTTGCACTTCCTTTTCTCTCAGGGTACAGGGGTATCAAAATATGCATGAGAAAGAAACGATTTTATATTAAGCCTATGGAAGGGTTAAAAGCATGCAGTTTTTTTGGCTGATGTATAGACTGGCCCAGAGCCACTTTTGTAAGGGTTAACTAGTTGCTGTTATATTCATCTATAACTGGGGGTTTGACAGTGCCTGTGGTGGATGGCCATGGTATTATAACGAGTTCATCCACCCTTAAATAGGTCCCCCTGCGTGCCCTTGTACCCTGCTTGACCACAGGCTGTAGGTTGGTGGGGAAGCTAAGGTGGCACTGACTTTATAGGCCCCATTTATATGAAGAAAAATTGTCCCGGGAAAAAGGGTCTCTCTTCCTTTAGCGATCAATTTTATGAGAATAAAACTAACCCCTTTGCCCAAGCTAACAGCGCGCACGCATGCTCTGATTGTTTAAAACAGCGATCGCGCTACCCTGCGAAAACAGCCGTTTCTCCTCGCTCCTCGCAGCTTGGGACGTTTCGCGAGGAGAGACGTCTGCGACTCAGCGACAGAAATTCCATACTGTTGACGTAAATCAATGTTTACATAATAAATCCGGTAGTCATGGGGTTCCAAATGCAGATTTGTTCAATTTTACGTTTGTCTTGGTCGATTTTGGTAAAGTGTTTTGTTCATCTGCGAACGAGCTCCAGAAAAACTTAAATGCTTCTTCTAGAGAAGAATATAATCCACAAATATTGACTGTTTCGTTATAGATTCATCGCGTTTAAATTTGACCTTTGTGGTCTTTTGCCTTTTGATGTCATTCGTAAACAACAGCTAAAACAATGTGACTACTCTGTCGTCCAATCAGCGCTTATGACCGGATTCCGGACAGATTTTACGTCATCAGTATGGAATTTCTGTCGCTGAGTCGCAGACGTTCCTCCTCGCGAAACGTCCCCAGTGGCGAAGAGCGAGGAGAAACGGCTGTTTTCGCAGGCTACGATCACACATTCTTTCACAGTGTTTGTGTGGAGAAACGATGGCCTCCTACCATCGAAAGGGTGATCGGTCTAGGCGAGGTACCCTTCTAGCCGAACATTTCTACATATAAACGACGCCTTAAATGGCTTACCGGTAATAGGTATCGTGTCGTGACCTGACCTAAATATTGACTTTCCTAGTTTACACCAGGAATAAACGGCCCTAGCGTTTGAATCATTGGGGTAATCCGTTGTCCATGTACAAAGTGCATCAATTGCTGTGCTTCTGTGCATTTAAGTAGTATAGTGAGGACCGAATTGACCTCTCTCTGGGAAGAAACTCATAAAGAAGGGATGGCATACATTATGGGAATCGTGCATAGTCATGAAGACAAAAGCAAACTAGCTTCTTTAAAAAAATGTAATCTACGCCACTTCCAAATTTCCCATAATTCACATTATTTGCTCCGAAGAACATTTTGGATAACCTTTGTTTTTCTTTCGTAATGGGTATTACAGCCGTCCCAAGAAAAACTGAAAACAGTGCTTATGCAAAATGTTGGGGGGCAAATAAGGTGCAGTATGGGAAATTATGTTGAAAT